TGCCGCATTCCTGGTCCTGGCCGCCGCCATGTTGACTCCGGCCGCCTACGGCAGCCCCGCTGGGTCACGCGCGCACCCCGCGTCCGTACTGCTGGACGCTGCCATCTTGCCCCTCAACCACTGCAGCGCTGGATCCGTACGCCTGGGAGCCGCCATCTTGAACAGAAGCCGGGTACGGTGGCCTTCAAGGGTCAAGTATTGCTCCCCGGCAAGGCGTTTAGCGCTCCAATCGACCTCGCTGGGTCGAAGGTGGGGTGGTGTGGACGCAATTCGACCGTGTTGGCCTCCGGGAGCTATCCCAGAGTGCTCCACTGGGACCGCTCTGGACAGCGCTCTCAACTCAGATGCACTGGCCAGGTAGCTAGGAAAAGCCCCGGGAAGGTTTGAATTTCATTTCCCGCTTGGCCAGCGTGGGAGCCCACCAGCGCCGGGACCATGCCGGCCCAGAAGCGCAGGCGAGAGGCGCTGGATCTGATCGCTCTGTGGGGAGACGCCGCCGGGCAGGCGGAGCTCGGGGACCCCGGAGCCGGCGAAGGCACCTCTGGTGAGCACCTTTGTCACTAGAATACAGGGTTTAAAAGCAAGCGTGTTTAATGGCTGATCTCCCACGCCGCCGGCTTTTCCCGGACACGTCCGGCTTTTTGGTTCTTAGATCCCGCCCGGGAGGAACTGGTAAAGATCTAAAAGCGTCCGGGAAAATACGGCCCCGTGGTCACCCTAGATGATAATCAGTTGTGGCAGCTGCAGATCCGCTCTGGGGCATGCGGAGCCCCCCGAAGAAATTGATGCGTCTGTCCCGGAGGAGCAGGATCAGCAGTTCCCCCCCCCCGGCTCTGGGAAATTCCCCATTGTGTGGGCTGCTGCTGGGAGCAGGAGAGCTGTCTGCATTGCTCTGTCCGCCCCACCCCTTCGCACACACAGGGAGTTTTGAGTGAGTTTCTCAAATGCCCCCTCAGGCTGAGCGGCTGAGAGCCTGGGTGAGTTAGAAATCCCCCCACACACACACACTCCCTGCAGCCAGCAGCCCCTGGGCCAGAGGTGCCCTCGAAGCACTTCATGGGGGTGAAGCGTTCCCACCCACCTGCTAGGCTGGGACCCAGGAGAGCAGTTTCTGCCTAGCTGAGCTGTTCGGGTTTGGCTGACAGGGATCTTTCCTGATACTAGCCACGGGGTGGGGGGTGAGGTTGAAGCAGGGCCGCCCCAGGCAAAAAAGCCGCCGGCGCCCCTCCCCCCGCAGGGTGGGGGGGAGGGCGGCTGGAGCCCCGGGGGGAGGGCGGCGAGCCCCGGCGGGGGCTCTGCTCTCCCCCCGGCGACTGGGGGGAGGGGGACCGGAGCCCTGGGAGGAGGGCGGCGAGCCCCGGCGGGGGCTCCGCTCTCCCCCCGGCAGCCGGGAGGAGGGCACCGGGGGGGGAGGGCGGCCGGGGGGAGGGCAGCGAGCCCGGCCATGGCCCCGCTCTCCCCGGGGGCCGGAGCGCTGCCCCAAGCACAAGCTTGGTGGGCTGGTGCCTGGAGCCGGCCCTGGGTTGAAGCAATCATCCCAGAGAATTGGGAGCGGGGCGGGGGGTTGGATTGTGCTGCACATTCACCCTAAAACCTCAGCCCCACCTTTTAAATGGCCAACCCAACGGGCTTTGCTGGGTATGAGAAAGGAGGGCGCTGCTGTTTGAAACCGTTCCCACGTTATGAAGGCTGAAAAAGCCGAAACCCTTTGCCTTACCCTGGCTGCCTGCAAGCCGAATTCGGTTGCCCAGCTAAGCATGTGTGATCTCTCACGCCAAACCGGCAGGCACTCAATATAAGGCAAAATGTGACCTTGTACCCAAAGCACATGTGCTATGTAATGTGAACCGCTTGATTCAGTGTGAAATAGTCTTCCGTTTGTTCTCTAAAAGGTGTCTTTTTTTAAATACTACTCTCCCTTTTTTTTCCCTCCCACAGCTGCAAATGTTTCTATGCTCCCCCTATCATCTCCGTCCCAGAGGCTAGTGCAGATTAGAAGGCCAAAAAAATGCACTTGCGACGAGATGTTCTCAGAGCTCATGCAGTCCTTCCGCACTGAAAGAGCTCAGCAGAATGCATGGGGGCAAAGAATGGCAGAGTTCAGGAAAGCAGAAAATGAACGTGAGGAGAGGAGGTGGGAGCAAGAGCAGAGGAGGTGGGAGCAAGAGGAGAGGTGGCAGCAGCGCGTTGGGAGGAGACAGGATGAAATGCTGAGGCTAATGCAAGAGCAAACTGACCTGCTCAGGCGTCTGGTGGAGCTGCAGGAAAGGCAGCAGGAGCAGTCCCTGTATAACCACCCGCCCTCCTCCCCAAGTTCCATATCCTCCTCACCCTGACGCCCAAGAACGCAGGCAGGGGAGGCTACGGGCACGCAGCCAGTCACCCCAGAGGATTGCCCAAGCAACGGAAGGCTGGCATTCAATAAGTTTTGAACTGTAGTGTGGCCTTGTCCTCCCCTCATCCACCACCCCACCTGGTGCTTCCCTCCTCACCCACCCCTCCTGGGCTACCTTGCGAGTTTTCCCCATATTTGTGTGATGAATTAATAAAGACTGCATGATTTGGAAACAATAATGACTTTATTGCCTCTGAAACTGGTGATCGAAGGGGGGAGGTCGGTTGGTTTACAGGGAAGTAGAGTCAACCAAGGGGGCAGGTTTTCATCAAGGAGAAACAAACAGAACTATCACACCGTAGCCTGGCCAGTCATGAAACTGGTTTTAAAAGCGTCTCTGATGCACAGGGCGCCCTGCTGTGCTCTTCTAATCGCCCTGGTGTCTGGCTGCATGTAATTGGCTGCCAGGCGATTTGCCTCGGCCTCCCACTTCGCCATAAACCTCTCTCCCCTACTCTCACAGATATTGTGGAGCACACAGCAAGCAGCAATAACAATGGGAATATTGGTTTCGCTGAGGTCTAACCTCACCAGCGAGCTTTTCAACGTCCAAATGCACATTCTACCACCATTCTGCACTTGCTCAGCCTATAGTTGAACAGCTCCTTAATACTGTCAAGGGTGCTTGTGTATGGCTTCATGAGCCCTGGCATTAAGGGGTAGGCTGGGTCCCTGAGGATAACTATTGGCATTTAAACATCCCTAACGATAATTTTCTGGTCTGGGAAGTAAGTTCCTTCCTGCAGCTGTTCAAACAGACCAGAGTTCCTGAAGATGCGAGTGTCATGTACCTTTCCCGGCCATCCCACGTTGATGTTGGTGAAACGGCCCTTGTGATCCACCAGTGCTTGCAGCACCATTGAAAAGTACCCCTTGCGGTTTATGTATTGGCTGCCAAGGTGGTCCGGTCCCAAGAGAGGGATATGGGTTCCGTCTATCGCCCCACCACAGTTAGGGAATCCCATTGCAGCAAAGCCATCCACTATGGCCTGCACATTTCCCAGAGTCACTACCCGTGATAGCAGCAGCTCAGTGATTGCGTTGGCTGCTTGGATAACACCAGCCCCCACAGTAGATTTGCCCACTCCAAATTGATTCCCGACTGGCGTTGCAAGCTTCCAGAGGGCTATCGCCACTCGCTTCTCAACTGTGAGGGCTGCTCTCATCTTGGTATTCTGGCGCTTCAGGGCAGGGGACAGCAAGTCACAAAGTTCCATGAAAGTGCCCTTACGCATGCGAAAATTTTGCAGCCACTGGGAATCATCCCAGGCCTGCAACACTATGCGGTCCCACCAGTCTGTGCTTGTTTCCTGGGCCCAGAATCGGCGTTCCACGGCATGACCCTGCCCCATTAACACCGTGATGTCCAAATTGCCAGGGCCCGTGCTTTGAGAGAAATCTGTATCCATGTCCTCATCACTCTCGTGATCGCGCTGTCGTCGCCTCCTCGCCTACTTTTGCAGGTTCTGCACATACGCAGGATAATGCGCGAGGTG